CCCATTCTTTTGGGAGTAAGATGGAATCTTAGCAATGTTTTAATTTGCGTCTCTCTAATGGCCAGAGATGTTGAACTTTTTTTTTTTTTTGGTACCGGGGATCAAACTCAGGTCCTTGCGCTTGCGCAGCAGGTGGAAAACCACTGAGCTAAATCCCTGGCCCATGGAAGTCCTCTCTTGTTAGAAATGAACTGGAAGAATACAGCAAGTTAAAGTGAATTTGATTACTGAAGAATGATTTTGTAAAATTGATAGGGCACCACCGTCTTTCAGCTTTTCTAGGCTTTACCTCTTGGTATGTCTGTTCTCCTGTAATAGGAGAAAGCTATACCACTCCCCAAATAGATGTCTGTAAATGAATAACAACACAATTCAAAGTATAAAAAAGTGTTTGTCAACATTTATGTAAAAAGTGTATGTAAAAAAAATCTTTGTAGCATAATCTGTTGTTACCTGTGATTTGGAGGTGCTTATATAATTCCTGACTTGAAAAGTTACCAGTTTCAGGTATTTACAGCTCAGTATTTAGACAGAGCTATAGTTTGGGCATATATGACTAAGACTCATTTTCTGAGTCTTTTGGGTAGCAAAGGCCTCAAGACGTACATAATGCTGATTATGAGGATCAGTTAAATCTTGACTTATCTCTGTTGCTGGCAACTTCTCTTTGCTACATGTTGGTGGTGGGGATCCTGTTGATGACCAAAGGCAGTGTCCCTCTGTGAATACAAGGCCTTGGTCAGAATCTTGAGGTTGGAGGACTGGGCGAAAAGAAGTCTATTTACTTAGTAGCTGTTAGTTCCACGTAAATTGTTTGACTAGTATTGAAGAAAGATGGCAGGTAGCAAAAATAAAAATGTGAAGAAAGAATAAGAAGAGAGGAAACGTCAGTGCTATGGACATGTGGCTAAGTTACTTAGAAGAGGGTTCTTCTGTAAGGTTTTCTGCCAGGTGTAGATATCACAGCTCAATGACACAAATCTCTACTCTTTTTGTTTTGTTTTTAAATGTTGAGTACAGTAGGTTGGCAGATACAAACACCTTCTTATTCTAAGATTCTGCACACTTTCTAGCAAATGCTGAAATAAATTCCGGTGGATCTTTAATATACACATGAGGATCCAGAGTCTGTTCCTTCATGTGTCTGCCAGTGTTTGTGTGTGCCCATGTGTGTGTGGGAGGAGGGTTATAAGACAGGGTGCTTAAATGCTTTGTTGCATTATGTTAATTCCTCAGCAGTGCAATCAAATTCATGTCGTAATTAAAGCTGTCAGTTGGAAGGCAAGCCAATCGCCACGAAAGCACAGCATAACAAATGAAGTGAAATGATTCTGCGTGTAGCTATACAATGCTTCGCCAGGCATGAAATTAAATAAGTAATTTGATGTTGACATCAGAAATTGAAATGATACCCACTGTTCTCTCATTCAGTCAGACCTGCATAAACAATAGCCAGAACAAATATGCACAACAAAGCCTTCTTCTCCACCCGGCTCCCTGAGTAATGTACAATATATATGCAAAATGAGCATAACAGAGCTTTCCTAGACCCGAAGGATGTCATTTTCCTTGGTATACAGTAAGATGGGGTGTATGTCAGGATAGGGAGGTAGGTTTGGTGGGGGTGCTTCTCCTTCTGAGATAAAATATATTTGCAAGAATTGGGGTGAATGGAATAAACATCCTGTGATCTCCCTAAGTAATTCATCCTACAGTGGATTTCCTTCCCAGGAACATGACTTTAGGCAGGTAGAGACCTAATGGCTTTAGCCTTCACCTCCTCCTTGGAGGGCTGTGGGTGCTGAAACCAGGTGATTCTGTCACGTGGGTAACTGCTGGCCTGAGAACCAGTCTCTGACTGCTGTGGATCTCTCTTCATACGGCTGATGGGGTCTAGAACAAAGCAAGATTTTAAAAGCCACGTATAGTGTGCCAGATCGCACTTCTCTGGTGCTGTATTCCTCTGAGCTTGTCTGAAACACTGAGGTGAAGGTACTTCTGCTCTCGGACCCGTATTTAGGAATGCTCTGAACCATGTTGCACTTGTTTGATGTGGACTCTGTTACAGCCTTCTATTTCCTTCTCAGATAGTTTTGGATCAAAAAAGAATCACATCTACTGTAGTTATGAAAATGTCAAATTCTCCTAAGCCTTTTTTCCCTGTGTAGTCCGTTCATTCCTTTGTTTATATGTTAATTCAAAAAATTCTTATTAAGTGCATCTTGTGTACAAGGCATTTTGCTGAAATCTGGGGAAGCAGTAATGAATACACCCAATAGTTCTTTCTACTTGTGGTTTGTAGAGGTAGGGGTCAGGATGAGGAGGTGGAAGAGCTAAAAGTGAACTGTAGTATGAAGGAGGAGGTCAGGCCACACTGGAGAAGGTGTGATACCTAACCTGTGCTCATTAGGTAAAAGGCTTCCTGGTACAAGTATGGTTAGGTGAGACCTGAAAACTAACTCACTACTGGCTTTACTCTTTTTTTCAAATTTATCTGGGGCCTCTCTTAATCACAGAGAGGATGTGATAGTTAAAGAATTTCTAAGTAGAAGTTTTAGGGGGAAAAAAGCATGGAAACAAAGAACCTTAGACAAGTTTGAAACACAAGCAGTGTTCTCTTTTTGCTCTTTTTCTCCAAATAACTGATACCCTGCATTCATTTCAGAATTACTGTTTTTTTGGTTCCCTGTGTATCAGAATTATGGCTGCCTAAATTGCTATTTGTTGTAACTAAAACCTTCAGAAAATGGTGCTTTTAACTGCTTCTCTTTGCCCACACATTCTTTGCATTTCAGTATACTAATTATGTTTACAAAATGTCTCATTTTTGAAACGTACTGTGTGTGTACTAACTGGTTCCTTTAGGGAATAAACTGGCAAGTAGGTCATACACTGGAAAAGTCATCCAAACCCATTGGGCTTTTTATTTTCAAGTCAGTCTGGGGTTTTTCCTTTGCCTGCCCCTTTGCGGCCACAAAACTGAGTAGCTTGAGACCAGGGCATTGAATGTCAGCAAGTCAGGGAGGCAGGCTGATGCATGTCTGTTTAGTCTCAGTGCAGGGCGAAATGCCATCATTAATTCATTACCCAGCTGCCTGTCAAATAAATTGGCAATTACATCTACCGCAGAAGCTTGGAATTCAGTAAATAGCACGTTAGCATCTCTGAGTTGTTGAGAGATGTAAAGGGGAAAATTAAGCAATACAGTGTTTGTATCAGTAGCAGATGACAAGGGGCAGCACATGCTGGTGATGTGATGTAGTGATGAAAAGCCTGCAAAGGGCTGGTAATGAGCTGTGTGGATTGGAACGTGTTAAAAACCATTGCTGATTTTCCACTTTGTCTTTATGCTTTATTGCAGAGTTCAGCTCCTTCCAGCTTGGGAACAGGCTACTTCGTAAGTCTATCTCAACTTCCACATATGTGCTTTGTTTTTGTCATTGATTCACTTCTATAATGAATGCTCATTAGAATGTAAAAAAAACTTAAGAAATCCCCTCTGAGTCCTAAAGAGGAGTCTGATTTCTGACTTCCGTCCTGTTATTAAGACCTTTATTTTTAAAGGACATAACCTGCTGGGCCCTAGGGATCATCAGTCTTGAAATGTGTGCCTGGTTCCAAGCAGATAGAACGTTTTCCCTCTACCTAGCAGTGCAGGGGACACAGGGAGAGTGGATCGCTCATACTGTCTTTGCTCCATAATTGTTTAGTGAGAAGTACATATCATGGAGAAGATGGAATTCAGATTATGCACTGAGGCATTTACTCACTTTCAAGATCTCTTAAAAAATTTCCTGTATGTACAATGAACTACTTTTTTCTTTTATAAGAGGCATTTCAGTGAATGTTTTCCATCACAATCTAAGTAGATATCCTATAGATTTTCTTTGTAGCAATCATTTAACTCATTTTAGCAAATACAGGTGTAATTTTTAAACTCATTCTCTGTCCTTTGGGGAAGAGGTGGAGGATATGACATACTTCGAGATTTATCAAAATATCTTTCATTCACAGAGAAATTGTTACTTTTATTTATAGCAAATTATCCTCTTTGCGTTTAACAATCCTTTTCAGGATATAAATGGGAAAGAATTACAAATAAGCTTTCTTTACACATCAAGATAACTTCTGAGTGTAGAAGTTTATGGTGGGATTTAGGAAAACCTGATTAGTGTTCTAAATAAGGAACACTAATACTGTAATGACTGCCTGTTTAGTATTTTCTATGAAAATAAAGTGGAAAATAAGTACTGTTTCTGTGGTTTCTGTGTAACTGCTTTTAACTTTTTTTTTCCTCTAACATGCTCATTACTCTGATTTTCTTCTGCTCACACATTTCTGTCCATATATTTATATTAAATGTATGAAAACTAGTTCATTTCATTGAATAAATAAATCTTTCCCAAGCTTGGCAGAAAGTGCATTTTCTACATCTTGATTCCTTTTTTTTTTTTTTTTTTTGGTTTTGGTCTTAATCTATGGTATGAGAGAGAAAAGGATAAAGAAAATTTGGGACCTTCTTAATACCGTTACACACTTAAAGAGTTTCTCCTACTTATTGTGGCTGAATATTCATGCTTACAGAAGCACACAGGATACATTCAGCGTCTTGCTTCAGCACTTGAAAGAACAGACTTAGTACCATCTGTCATCTCTTCACACCAGCCTGGATGTGGGTTGAGATGTTGGAAGGAAAAATCTGGAGGCTGCATGTCTATTTTCCATCCAAAAGCTAAATTCTTCCTCTTTGCTTGCTTCAGCAGAAGCAAGGCCAAAGCCACCACCTTCGCCTTGAACAGTCTATTATTTTTTATTGTCCATATGATTATCCTAAAAGAAAAAAAGTCATTTCTAGTAACGATGTGATTTTTATTTTGCTTTTTGTCACTTACTTTTCTTTCTGGTGATGTTTATTTTTATTCTGTAATAACTAAAATGTTCTATGGGGTAAGTATCTTTAGGAACCCAAAATATTTAACTGACAACACTAAGCATAAAATTTTGTCCTTATTTAGATAAAATGGCTCATGGACTTGTTTTCCTTACATCAAAATCTATCATGCTATTAGCTTACATGGAGAACATACATACCAGATGTAGGTTCAACTATCAAGTGTGAAAAAAAACCCTTATAATGTGTTTCCAATAATATGATTGTTATGTTATCAAAATTCAAAATGTATTGATTTTGTTGCCAAGTCTTCAACAAAAGTAGTCTCTTTTTCAGGTCTTATTCCAACAGTATTGCATGTAATACTTAATTTTAAGTACTGAATGTGACACTGGAGCAGCTCACTCATTTAAGTAGAAATGATATGTTCACAACTTCTATTAGTTTTTTTTTCCCCAGTATAATCAATCCACTGTGTTTTGTGATCTATGATATCATGGTAGCTATTTACTTATGTTTGTAAAGAAGACTTAACATCAGGTAAGTGGGATAGTAATATTTTGAGTCCATCCTTAATCATTTTTAGCATTTCTTTGAAATGTAGATGGAGGGAAATCACCTACAGAGTGAATGAGCTATTAATGTAATTGAGTCGTATAGTGAATTCTGGTATAAAAAATTTGAAGGCACTCACATGTTGGGCCTAACAACCTGGAACTGTTTCCTTCAACACGCTCCCATGCCCCAACATCATTCTTAACTTCAGAGTCTTCTGTTGTTTAGACATCATGCTTCTAGAGAGCTTTTAGTAAACTAAGGTAAATGCTGCTTGTGTGTGTTAGAAGGTGTATTAGGAGACACCTATCAGAGTGTATGTGCAGGTGAGTCCCCGTGTGTCTGTATGTGAGATACACATACACTCACTCCCACACTCATCCACCCTGGGCCAGAGTCAGTATATGTTACTTTCTTTCAGGGCTTTTAATATATTAGTAGTGATAAATTAAAAGGGCTTTAAGAAACCTTTGGGTTTTTTAAAAATCTAGTTGTATTTGTTTATGTCTCCTTGGTTTTGTGTTCCAAAAATGTCTGCTTAGGTCTGTCACTTTTCCAATCCGTTTAAAAGCAGATTTGAGAAATGAGAACAGCAGCTAAATCAGTATTTACATAAGCATATTGCAAAGAATTCTTAAAGTAGACAAAATAGAGAAGGATTGGAACAAACTCTCCACATTTTGGGAGCTTTGAATAATGTGGGTGTTATACACACAGAGAGACATACACATATATATATTCATTACATACTCATGCGCAGCTCTGTTCATATTCTAAGTATAAATGAAATTATAGAGTAGTTGGAATCAGTTTGCTTTTATTTTACTTTTTTTTCTTTTTTGGCAAGCATACTAAAACTTGTTGGAATGTGTATAGGATTTTCTTCTTTTTTTAAAGCATAAGTGTAGGAACTCATTTTTTTTCAATTTAAATATTTTAGGCTATATTCTCTTCTTAAAATGTATTTCATTGTGAATAATTTATAATAAAGATGTTAGAGACAGAATGGTATTTAAGACTCATTTGTGACGTTCAGCAGATTATTTGTTTATTTCTCGAGCTTGAGTGCACCCTTTCAATTCTTTTTTCTATTGAATCCCTTTCTCTTCCTTCCCTCTCCTCTCCTCTCATCTCTTGTTCTCCTTCCCATTTCAACAAGTTCTTCCTACTTCCAGTATCTATCCTCCATTTTGATTGAATGGCTTTTCTGAGATCTCAGAGTCTGTTTCTCCATCAGTGCCTGCTTTATAAAGTTGTGAATATTTATTGAGGGAAGACATTTAGTGCATATATGGCACCATTGGGCAATGGCAAACAATAAATTTCCTTTCCGTTTTTCATACTTTAATGTGTGGTGTGATGAACTTGGTTTTATGAAGTAGCTGTTCAATGTTATGGTGACAGAATTACCAGAAACAATCAATACAAAAGTTGATTGTAGGAAAGAAACATTTTATTCTCATGATATTCCTCTTGTAACTTTCACAGGATCCTACAGTCTTTTGTTTGGTGTCTTAGTTACTTTTCTCTCATTGTTCTGACAAAATACCTGACAAAGTTAAAGGGGGAAAGGTTTATTTGGCTCAGTTTGTAGAGATTTCAATTTCAATCAGCTGACTCCAAGGCAGGATGGCAGAGGGGCAACAGTTTATAGTGGCAGGAAGACAGAAAAAGCAAACAAACAAGGAAACTTTAACAGTGACTTTCTGCTCCTCTTATCTAGACTACCAGGATTAGGGCAGTGTCAAACCAATCAGTGTACTGGTTTAGTAATCACACACCCTTAATCCCACCATTACAAACTCTAGACTCAGCCATCTCTGACCACATGAGGCTTTGGGGGAACATCTAGTCCCAAATGATAACAATAAGTTATATATCAAGTCACTCTGTATATGAACAGAGATATGATGTACATCCTCCGTAATCCCTTATCATGATGATGTAGGAATGACCTCTTCTATAGACTGGCCACACATTATACTTTCCTTTAATTGATTTAACAGAGTTACTTGTCTGCTTTCTCCCTCAGGGTATTTAAAGCATATGTGCCTCTTAACAACTGCTTAACAGCTTTTAGGATCAGCTTGGAGGTTAAGGAACATTTTACTCATTATATTTAAGCTTTATGAGGTTCCAGCACATTTTTGCTGCTCTCTGAGACTGAAAAGAAAAGTAGGTGCTTTAGCTTACCTGACAGAAGCAACTGAAGGCACTAGCCTGGAAAGAACAGGGAAAGCACTGTAGTAGTGGACAGTAGTGAGATATCTCATCACAGGAAATATCTGGACTCATTCTCTGCAGGCATTTGACTATATCTACCAGTAGTTGGAGCTACTTTTTGGGTGACCATTACTTGGCAGGCTGGACTTGAGCTCTAGCATGAAGGAAGTTAAGGTCTGACTTGATACATGCAACATGTTCTGTCTGTTTCTCCGGCTAATTGTTAGCCTTCTTTCAGGTTTGAATCGAAATGGATCCCACTTTTCCAAATTCTGCGATTCAACGAATAATTTTTCATCATTCTCACTTGGATCACATGTAGTAATGACATAGTATTTATGATGGAACCAGCTCACTGCTATTTGATGATAGGTAAATTACCATATTGTATAATACAGGAGAATTGTACAGTGATAGATATCTTAAAGTGGGATTTGGGTAATCTCTTTTTTCCAGTTAATTTATGTTGATAGTGCTGGTAAAAGGCAGAAGGTACAACATGTTGACCTTTGTCTTTTTATCTTAGAGTTATAAAAATCATAAAGAAAAAGTTCTTTGACTTTTTCTTAGTTTGTGACTGTTGACTCAATAAATACCTCTTTTCCTTTTATCTGATTTGTGTAACTCCCCAAACTAGTTTTGATATTTGTTTGTTGCTTCTTTTTAAGAGTAGATTTTGATTGTGAGGTGAGAAAAGAATGATTTCTTAAAAACTAAAGATTTTTTAA